GAAGGACTGGTAGTAGAATTTTCCCACAATGATATGAGCAGAGCTGACGTTTCCATTGAATTTCACATAGCCTTGCTTTCCCAAAATAGGGTGAATACATCTCATATTACTGATTTACTGGAAGTCTCGAAAATCTACCTACATACGAAAAATAAGTAACGTAGTCGATCGTTATAGCGAATACACGTTTGCTTTATCGACAATCCCACCAAAGAATGTGATATGGGAAAAGGCCTGGCCTTCCTCCAACTTCGCATCTGCAATGTGACCCAAGGGCACTCGTGGCAATGTGGTCGATGGTTTAACGTGTCAACCTTACATTCTGCACTGTCACAGTTCGAATCCCGCTGGGGGTGTGGATTAGACCTATACGAGGTCGAAACTGCAGTCCACCCTGGATGAGAACAACTTTTTGGAGAGCAAGGCTCTGTGAAATTCAGTGGAAATGTCAGCTCTATTCATATCATTATGGGAAACTTCTACTACTTGCCCTCCATCAGCTTAAACGAAATAGGGTGAATACATGTCAAACTTCATCAAAGCATGATCTCACTATTTTATCAAAACTCTACATACGTACACACCAAAAAACAACTGAAAGTAGGATAAAATATAATTATTCGTTACGAGTAGAAACTGGGCTTCGATTAATCTCCTGAGACATTGTTGGGGGGACTTTAGTCTCATATGAAAATACTCATGTCATTTGGAGTACCTGTATAGTTGAGTACTTACATAAAGGTATTTCGTCTTGAAAAGCGATTAATCAAATTATTCCATTTCTCAATTTTCGGCTATTCTTGATTTTTTTAGTATTGAAAGTATAAAAGAAGGAACCAGTTAGCTTTTCTGATGTAGCGTTTATTAGAAAATTTTACACGAATGAGACCCAATCCTAAAGACGTCTTCCAAGTGGCGTAACAAAGGAGATTTCTACCAGCTTCAACTGTAATTGATGGAAGATGCCTCAGGGACCGCTCCAGTTTGAGCTTTATGTTCATGCAATACACTATTAGTGCATCAGTAAAATCTGCTGTCTGGTAGTGAGATCCACGGGCGAATCTTTTCATCAAGCAATTTCACACCTAATATTCTATACTCCAGAAACAAAAACTTGCACTTTTCTTATATCAAATCGTACTTCTTTATGGATCCATTCTTTTAGTTTCCATTTCATCTTCTCGAGCTTTCCGCTTTCTTCATTGATTGAGTTGGTACTAAAGTCAATGTATGCCTAGTACGTAGGACACCGGTACACCATACCTAATAGAAACTAAGAATGAAATGTAAATATAGCGTCGTACGCAAATTAACCACATTTTTATACCGAAGCACACGTCTGGCCAAAGGATCGGTGTCACTTGTCTCTTTGATGAGTCATTGTGTGGTGGTAAGAATGGCGAGACTCACTGACGATGCCGACTATGATGCCGGCGAAACGTTTGGCAACGTACCACGTCCACGATCCGAATTTGGAAATGATTATGCATATAATGGACTCTGGACAAGACGCGTTCCTCTAAGTCTTCCTACCAATATGACCATGTTGCGAAAACAAGGTCAAACAACGTATAAACAGCGAAAGGAGACTGCGACCACACAAAAGGCCACACCATCTTGGTCTTCATACCATGAAGTTATGTTCTGATCGCATTTTCAAAGGTTCTACTAATGTCATTCAATTTTACAATATCATAGCGCTTGACTCTTCCTTCAGGAACTTTGTCAGTAGTTTAGCCAGTGGTCAGGACTTTCCTTAATTATCGAAAGGAAATAGTACTCAACCATAATATATTCGAGATCCTTATAGAGCATGAGCCATCACCCATTGATAAGGACTTGTTCAGATTAAAGTTTTATACTACTTATAGATGAGTAGTAGTTTATTTTTTGACGCAAAGCATCTATTCACATTGGTTCGATAGAACCTAAGTCTGGCTTGAATGATAAAATATATGGATATGAGCATCTCTACTGTGATTTCTTCTGGTGGGATCACTAAGAGGTCGGAATTTTGAGCGCCGTTCAAGCTGCAAGTTTGTGGAAGGCCTAATTGTCGAACGGATATTTCTTCTTCAACTCTTACTGGATTAGCTTATCTTACAGATTCTTTTCACGTTTTCCCACAATGATATGAGTTGAGCTGACGTTTTCATTAAATTTCACATAACCTTGCTTTCCCAAAATTTGTTCTCATCCACGGTGGACTGTAGTTTCGACCTCGACACCCTCAGTGGGAGTCAAATCGTGACAAGGCAGCATGTGAGCTTTACACGTTAACCACTCAATCCTATTGCCACGAATGTCCTTGGCTCACAGGGCAAATGTGAATTTCTCATATTGCATTCTTTGGTGGAATTGTCGATGAAGCACTTGAGTGAGTCTGTTTGTATGTGTGTGCATTTATGTGTACGAAACCAACAGTGAGGGTTCAAATTAATTAGAACAGACGGTGTTAAGCCACCTGCATTATATATTTATATTTATATGTATGTATTTTTAATCAACATTACGATTACGCGGCCGAATACAAGTCTTGTTATTTTGATGAGCTTTTTTGTCTTCATGTGAGAGAGAATGAGTGGACAAAAAAGTACAAAAAGTGACCTTGATTAGAACCAGGACAAGAAAATAAAAGATTAGTTAAGTCTTCTCCTATTTGCATACTGCTCAACATCCTCTTTAACTTTGAGTGTATAAATTAAATATAATTATTTAAGTATTAGGGATAAATAGATTTTATTTGACTTCCTGCCAGTATTTCTTACATTCCCGTTTTCATCGGAATCGAAGGAGACTACCTCGGAAACAGAGTCTACAAGAATGTTTCAGTCAAGCCACTCGACAGGTGGTCAAGAGGAATCCGCTGTGGACTTCTGCTTGGATCAACCTTCGAATCTCTTCAAACATCACTTTCATGTGAAAGTAAGCTCAGTACCTATGAACTAATAGATTCCTCTAAACCCTACCTTTATCCGCATGTATAGATATACCTGGCTAAACCTCGTATTCGCTGCCTATACATGTTATAGAAGCTCCGAAAAAAGTTACTCAGTATTTTGTCTTCTGCGTTTTGCCACGCCTTTCTCCACAATTGGATTGGGTACATTTCCAGATCCAGCTTAACATCGAGCTACGGCCCGCCAAGTGACAATAACGTTTTCTGGTGAACGCTTGTGGCATTTGTGTAAAATGAGCCAAATAAACCAGCCGCTCACTGGTCCACCAGAAGGTCAGATTTGATAGGTTGGTGATAGTGTTGGATTCAGCCAGCACAGATCATCAAAAGTTATTTTTGTAACGCAATCACTTCGCATACAACCCCTCTTCATCAAGTAAATTTCGAGCCACTTGACGAAAGGATGCCTGCGTAGTGACTCATACGTGCTGTAATACAGCACATGTATCCAGTCAACAATAGCAGAAGAAAAAAACATGATGGATTCGTAAAAATGGAACCTATGGCACTTCGTGGCTATGCAGCAAAGACAAGAGGACTTGAAATACAAATCAAGAGACTACTCACCTCGTAAATCTCCTCTTCCTCCTCGTCGGACAGTTCGAATGTACCTGTTAAAAGGAAAGTTAAGGGGTAAGAAATTTTGCTAAACATTTGAATGTTTGCTAGTGACCATTTTGCACGAAAGCGTAGCCCTTCAAGTGTTACCTGTTACACGTATACCAGTACTAATAGACACATACACAAAACATGGTACCATGAATCAGATCTCGCCTTTTTACTCACACCTTCTTCTGGATAAACTTCTCCCCAGACCAGTAGCCAAGGGATGAATAAAATTGGGGATACATTCATAAACGTTAGACATTCTCAGTAGATATTTGTGCGGTAACTGGTAAGTGAAGAAAGTTTTGGTAAGTCAAAGTCTGACAGTTGAGAAGGAGGCTCTTAGTTCGGATACAAAAGAGCTTTCTTCAAGTGACCCAGATGCAAGTAAGTGTCTCATTGGGGCTTTTGGTGAGATCGCGATGACCACTGTTGGCACAGAGACAACTTATGGTCTGGAGGTGTTTAATGTAGATTGAGGTGGAAAGAACGATAGATCAGCCAATATTGCTGTCTGTCTGGCCTCAAACATGACTGTGAAGTCGAGGACGTGGCTCACCGATCAAATGCATCACCTCGATTGAAGAGAGACAAGGGTAGATCTTTCGCATTAGACCCTCCATGAAGATGACATCGCTGAGGCAGATGCAGAGATACGAGAGACTAGAGGGAAAGGCTAGCAACTCGTTGAAGTCGTGCAATTGCATGGCATTGCTGAAATCAAGTGTCAGGTAGCGAAGATTTACGCATCTGTTGCCCAACTCCTCGAGCACAGGCACGGTGATCAGATCACTGGGAAGTTCTAAATAGCGCAGGCCTGATCCGGAGCGTTGGTGGATCAGGTTGAGAAAATCGTCAACGTTGGGGATCTGTGGGGGGCAGAATGAGGCAAGATCATTGGATTACAGAGTTTTCGTGAAAGCAAACAAATCGTGTAGATATATTGTTGGTGTAAACAGGGTTCGAGTTTCCGGAGCCTGAATGGTTGGAGGGTATATGTGCAGATTTCACACAATACAATATAAAT